CTCACACACACACACACACACACTCGAACACTCACACTCACTCGAACACTCACACTCACTCGAACACTCACACACTCTCTCTCTCACACACACAAACACACACACACATTCACACACTCAAACACACACACAAGCATCAATACAATCCAACTGCAAGTTATGAGGAAGAGAAAAAGATCCGTGGAGAAAGCACGGCAGTGCATTTCAACTGTTTTCGCTCTGACATGATTGTCACACTCGCTCATCACATGCACACTCGCACACAAACACACACACTCTCACACACAAGTGACGCTGTGATCGTATCCGAGCGCTGACGTGTCTCTGTCCCGCAGGAGTTGGACGCTCCGTTCCGTCTGTACGGTCTGACCATGAATCCTCTGCTGTATAACATCACTCAGGTGGTGATTCTGTCGGCCGTGTCGGGGGTCATCAGTGACCTGCTGGGCTTCAACCTGAAGGTCAGATGCTCGCTGTGGGTCGATGTCTGTGAGTCTCTTATACGGTCGGTGCTGTGTTCACAGTTTGTGTGTTTGCTTCACAGCTGTGGAAGATCAAATCATGACGGTGAATCTGCAGTGATTTCAGCTTCCCGAGGCGATGCGCGTCTCAAACACACGGTGGCGCTGTTTCCCCTCGACGGCTTCCTGACAATGAACTCTTGACCTGTTGTTCGGTCATATCAGAGTGCTTGTGCAATTCAGCTATTTATTTGACCCTTTCAGTGTTTTTTGTTATTCTCAAGTATTTGTTTTAGCTGTTACAATTGTTTTAAGTATTATTTTAGCTCCTGATGTGACGTTCTCATAGGAAAGATAATCCAGCGCTTGTGCACGTGTCAGATTTACAGTCTGATCTGTGATATTTAAGATTGCTGTGAGTTACTGAAACCAAGAGAAAAGCCCAATCATGACGTGACGATCATTGTGGAATGGATGAATCTGACACACACACACACGGAACTGCTGTTTTTACACGCGTGTGAGTTTCTTTAGTTGATCTGCAGTTTTTCAGCTTTGTTTTATTCTCAGCAATAAGTGTCAGTGAGTTCAGATGAACATTGCTGCATCTGACCATGCACTGATTCAGGAGCTTCACGTGTGGTCTCACGTGTGTGTGTGTGTGTGTGTGTGTGTCAGTTAGGAAAGCCTCAAAATGTGCACTTTAAAGCAGAAAATGTTACATGTTTCAAAGAGTCAGAGTCAACATTTCAGTCTTAGCATTTTGTGTTTTTATACGTGACACGGGACAGACGGCGTAACGACCAAAGTGTGTGTGTGTGTTTGTCTGTTTCTTGCTGGAGATTAATGTATTAGAGACTCTTTGCACTGCTTTGTAACTTTTTTTGTTGTGATTTAGTTTTTCTCTGTTTTGGGGTTGATTCATATAGATTCATATTTCTGTTCATGGAGGGAAAATGTTCCTGTTACAAAGAAACACTATTTAAGGAAAAAGGGAAATGGAGAAACTGAATGTCTGGTTTTTTAGAGAGACTCTAGTGTTTCTAGTCTCTGTCAGACATTCAGCTGCGTTTTTTCTCTCTGCTTCACGAGACTCTTGTGCTGGTGTCACTTATAATTCAACACACTGTACAAAATAAATCTTTCATGGAAAGTGTTTGCAGTGCTCAAACTTCTTTAGCTGATCGGGTGCATCAACCATCTGCTAACTAACTAAACCAGGTACGTGCTGTGATCCGGGCAGTGCACTAAAATGACACTATTTCACTATTTTAAACACTTTTCAAAGAAACGGTTCACCGAAGTAGTCACGTAGATTAATATGAGCTCATAAAACTGCATGTTTAATAAGGAATTATTTGTTTTAGATCAAGAATGTCACTGCGCATCATCTAGCCACAAATGAAATGCTCCTCAAAGCAGCTCTAGTTGAGACCTGTGTGTGTGTGTGTGTGTAGATCAGACGCTAACAGAGCGGCCCTTGTTCACGTTCACCCACACAGGAATATAAATACAGCGGGGGAACGTCAGGATGCCTGACTGGTTATGTGTCAGCTAGTTAGTGTAAGTGAATGATCGCCTGTTGCATTAGTGATCGTCAGAGGTGTCCTGAATCTGCAGCGGTGTTTGTCGAGGCTCGACTGACCTGAGCAGAATCTCAGCTGGACTCTACCGCTTCTGAAGGACGGTTTCAGCTCAAGCTGCCGATCTTAAGAAACGCTCAATCTAAAACAAAGAGGGAGCAAATCCAGCCTCAGCTCTCAAACATTCATCACACATCAGGGAAAATGTAGCAGTAAAGGACAAACTTCTTTAATCAACAGTAAAATGCTATTTCACTCGATTAGAATTACAATAAAAATAGTGATCTGCTCAAGTAAAATCAAGGTCATTATTCAAAACATGATTGTGAAAACTTTTCATATTTACAAACTAATGAAAAAATCCTGCTGCAAATGACAATAGTTTTGTTCATTCACTTACTGACTGCAGCTCCAGTGGTTTCTCCTAAGAAGCGTCTTTAAAAATCAGTCATTTTACTGTCTATTTCTAAAGAATATTTGCTGGCAAACTCGTACAGTGCTCCATAAGAATCTTTCATTAAACACGAGATGAAGTACTGATGAAGTAGAGCAGCACCGCAGTGTTCAGAATGAAGAACTAGCACACTGCACTAACCGCATCCAAACACCTCGACTGACGCTAAACTCGGCTCGTCTTTCTCACGCTGATGAACGCTCGTCTGCACAAACAGACCAGACAAAACATATGATGCATCACAATAAATCAGTGCATTATTAGATCTAACTGTACGTCACATTATTAATAATCAAACCGTAATGTGACAAGAGGAGAAATCACTGCTCGTGTCTGAAAAACTTTAGCAGCTTTAAAAACATACTTTGCTCTCTCGTGCTCGTTATTGCTTGTCATGCACTTTGCTTTTCATTTTGTTACTATTTTCTAAAGAAATGTTTTATGGAAAAATACTTGAAGACTATTGAATTCATTATTATTTATAATTATGCAAATGCATTGATTAGGGTTAGGAACTTTTTAAATAGTTAAAATCATTCATGGATTTCGTGCATTGGTATTAAAATTAGAAAAGTGAACTTTGTCCTTTGTCCTCCTTTTGAAAGTCAGTAAGTTAGAAACACAAGACAGCGGCGTTGCACAGTTAATCCGATTCTGTGCAAAAACGTCACCAGTCTGCAGTCTGGTAAAGGAACTCCGTCAGGGTGCAGCTACACATATCACGCTGCTAAACTAGTATGGTAGAGGAGTATGTTAGTCTGCTATTCTGAACACGAAACAAACTCCCCTCATTCTACAAACTTTGCAGCGGCCTGTCGTCAGGTCAAAGGTCACGCCGCGCTCTCGCTCTCCCGGCTGAAGTCAGACGAGCTGGAACGCTGCCGGCGGAAGTCGATGAATATTCCCTCGGTGTCGGAGTCCAGAGACTCCAGGATCTGGTCCACGATGGGAGGAGACGGATCCTCGCAGACGTCTGGCTCTTCTGCGCAGGAGGTCATCTGACAGACGGAGTGGCGTCTGGCCCCGGCGCCGGCGCTGCTCTCGGGGTCGTACTCGGCCACCGGCGTCAGCATGGGCATGTTGTAGCTCTTGGAGCGCACCACGGGGTTCTTAGCGGGCGAGTCGCTGGAGCGCGGCCATCGGCGCAGGAGCCGCTTCTCTGAGAACAGCAAACGAAGGAAGGGTCAGGAGAATGTGCTGCGACCGCTGCGTGAGCTTTACTGTGACGCTGCTCACCCAGAACACACGAGCTCTGCGCCACCGAGCCGTCGCCGGAGAACAGGCCGTGAGTCCCCAGATACGGAGACACCACCTTCTGCACCAGACACTCCAGCTTCAGGTAATCACTGCTCACACCTTTAGACTCGTGAACCCCCTGCGACACACATCACATCAACACCAGCCTCCGCTCACACCACTCCATCATTCTGAATCATCAGAAGACGGAGTGAAACTTTGCAAGCATTTTCATCACATTATGAACTGACGCATTCATTTCCGTACACTTACTTTGATTTCTATAAGCACGTCTCTCACACTTTCACCCAGAAAACATTTCTGCAGGTTTTATGAAGGCAAATGTAAGACTTTAAGACCATTTTAAGTAAAGAGTGTTCTCTTAATGTAAAAAGATGAAAATACAATCTTCATTTCTTTCTAGTTCTTTTTACAAAAACAAAAAATAGCTCAACTATAATATGGAAATAACTTCCTCAGTAATTTTATCTGGGTTTTCCAGTGCACATGTCTAAAGACAAATGACACAAGTCTTGTTTTCTGATAAACTGATCAAAACTGAGTAAATTTATAATTAAAACAAGAACAAATTTACAAGGTCAGAAAAATCTACTTAATTCAAACAGAAAACACTGACATATCTGTTCTTGTTTTTAAGCATAAACTCATTTAATTTTGTTCAGTTTCTCAGAAAAGATTTCAACTATCTTCATTTTGCTCCTCCAGTAAATCTATCTTGATTTAAGGAAGTTTAGTTATTTGTACTGGAAAACAAGACAAAGATACGGAGGAAGAAACTCGTTTTTGCAGTGCAAGCAGCATTTAATGTCATGACTTTATGAATTGAAGACGTTCTGCTCTGATTTAGGACATTCTAAGGCTTTAATTTGTCAAATTCAAATTCAGACTCTTCAAGACCAACAGAAACCCTGCAAGTAGCTGATTCATCATGATCAAATATCTGACGGATCACTGCAGCAGATGTGAAAAAACTAAACAATAAAACAAAAATATGACGAGCCCTTTAAAATGCAGCATGCAGAGATAGACAGGAAATGAAACCACAAACAAACCAGAAAGAAACACACACTCACACACACACACACACACACACACACTCACTCACGCCTTGTGAAGTAGAAGTAAGGTGTAGATACATTTCACACAGAGTCTGAAGGTCAGAGATGATGCAAGCGCAGAAAACCACAAATATACACACGTCTCATAAACCCATTATGACACATTTGCTTGGAAATAAAACTCAGTTCACATACGTGTACACTAAAACACACGTGTGACTCCGTCCTGTAAATTTAAAGGGGTCATATGACGTTGCTAAAAAGAACATTATTTTGTGTATTTGGCTATGACCCCTTTAAAATGTGTTACACACACGCTACAGAAACCTACTTGAAACAGTTTCAGCTCTGCGTCGACTCAGGAAATCTAGAGCATTATCAAAGTTTCTGATGTTTGTTGACACGAGCGCCACAAAGGTTGCTGGGAAACAGCTGCATCTGTTCTGTAACACACACACACACACACACACTCTCTCTCACACACACACACACACACACACCTGCAGGATGAGGAGCATCTGAATGACGGAGGGCGGCACACGGGCCCGCGGTCGAGTCAGAGCATCGTCCAGCTTTATGTTGAGAGTGATGATGTTCCTGAAGTGCAGCAGAGCCAGCTGACGGACAGACGGCTCCTTCCCCTGAACACACACACAGAGTCTCAAATACACCACCAGTTCATCCTTTACACACTCTCACTAGTTCAGACCAAATAAATCTGCTCTATCAGCAAAATAAGTGTATTAGAGTGTTTGGTGAAGTACCTGGACGGGGTAGAAGATGGCCTGCAGCATAGACAGAACATCACAGAAGAAGAAGTCCCACGTTTCTGCCAGAGAATCCAGCAGCTTCTGACCTGCACACTCACACACACACACACACACACACACACACACACACAGAGCAGAACTGACTTCATAAATCCACTAAAAGTCACATCAGTGAAGCATTAGAGACACATGATCTGATGGAGGACTTTCAGAAGTGTGACGTGTGGACGATTCTTCTGAAGGCCACATCAGCATTAAACCCATCCTTTTAACGCAGAGGAAACTCTTCAAAACCACAAACACATGTGAACCGTCAGAAATGGTTCAGACAGCACCTTACCTTCATAAAAGTGAATCTTATCTCTCAAAATCACCATTCCTTTCGTCAGCAGCTGATTCTGTGACACAATCACAATCAAACTCAATTCACAGCTGCTTCATTTAGTATCGATTATTGATCCGAGACTCGACTGATCACCTGCAGATATTCTGTGAAGAAGGAGCCCAACTCGGTCTTTAGGAGCTGCCTAGAGACAGACAGACAGACCGAGAGACAGAGACAGACACAGATGGACAGAGAGACAGAGAGAGAATTACTCAGGGTGAAAGGTGAAGGTCTGTATTATTCACACACTGATGCTGCTCATGTAAAAAGTTGTTTTATTTAAACAAAGTTATTAGCACTTTTAAACATGTTTGTTTATTCTGTATCGAGGAGTTTGACGAAGCATGAGTACTAATTATTCTTTATTGTGTACTGGAAATGAAAGGAAACTTCTAGTCTGAACACAAACACATCCAGAAACATCTAGACAGTCCCGTGAGAAAAACTTCATCAGTCAGTGAGTCTGTGCCTCAAACATCTGCCTGAGTAATAAAGACTAGTCAACTGTGATCAGACCACACGACTGACTGTGTTAATTAAAGGGGTTCTAGTCGTCAGGCTGTTGATTTACCAACGGTTTCATTCACACTGGCCATAACCAGCAGGACTACTTAAGGGCACTCACCTGACGCCTTCATTCAGCACATAGAGCTCATTCTCTCCCAGATCCTTGCGCTGGAACACGGCGATCACGGCATTATGGATGCTGACACACACACACACACACACACACACACACACACACACACAGACACAGACACAGACACAGACACAGACACACACAGAGACACAGACACAGACACAGAGACACAGACACACAGACAGACACACAGACACAGAGACACACACAGACAGACAGACAGACACAGAGACACACACACACACACACACACACACACACACACACACACAGACACACACACACACACACACACAGACACACACACAGACACAGACACACACAGACACACACACACAGAGACACACACAGAGACACAGACAGACACAGAGACACAGACAGACACAGAGACACAGAGACACAGACAGACACAGACACACACAGACACAGAGACACACACAGACACAGAGACAACACACACAGGCACAGACACACACAGACACACAGAGACACAGACAGACAGACAGACACAGACACACATAGACACAGACACACACACACACACATTAAATGTGTTTGTTAGATTTCAGGCTGGACTGACATCTGAACTAGGTTTCACACTAGGGCTGCACAATTATGGCAAAAATCATAATTATCGATATTTGAAATTGTAACTGCGCTTATTAATTACGATGATCAGAGTTTACATTGAATGATGTTTATACCATTGTTTAAAGCAACTGCACGCCATATTTTTTACATGAAAATAAACTAACTGAAAACACTAACTGAAACACTTTATTGCTTTTCTATAGTATTAAGCCTCAAATGTCAACTATTGGATGATGATCGGTTTCTTCTTTAAATAATAAGTAAAACATGCATGATATTATTTTATACTAAAACTAAAATTGGAAAAACCCTTAAGATAACCTGTAAAAAGAAAAAACCCCACAAGCACTCAGAATAATATAGGTGGACTTTGAGCGATTACGTAATTGTGGCATCCGTAATTGTAATCGTGATTAGAAATTCCATTAATCGTGCAGCCCTTTTTCACACTGAAAGATTGTGTGTAAAATAAAATCAGATGAAATGAAGGTGAAAGATTTTCTGCTCACTGAGAAACAAAACATTACATCAGCTGAATGACACACACTCACACACAAACACACACACACTCTCTCTCTCTCTCTCACACACACACACACACACACACACACACACACACACACACTCAAACACTCTCACACATACACACACACTCACACACACTCTCTCTCTCACACACACACACTCTCTCTCACACACACACACTCTCTCTCTCTCTCTCTCACACACACACACACACACAC